TTCTTCCATGGTTCATGTCTGACCCGTTTCTTCCACCAGTCTCGCCGCGCGCTGGTTTAAGCGCTGTGCAGACAGGCCAGGCGCCGAAACGAGATCCGCCGTTCGCGTTCGCAAGCCCCAGGAGGATGAATTCCTGCAAACTTCTGCGATGCGAAATTCCCTTGGCACTGAATGTGCCAGGACGTTAGACACTCGCTACGCGTGTACCTAGCATCGGACTGCGACAGCTCGGGGTTCCCTGAGCCCCTCATCGACAGCAAGCATGCAAGCAAAGCGCGGTGAACCTACTGGACCCGCATTCAGTTCACATATTTATGATGCCCTAACTTCGACGAGCCAATCTGGGAACGCCTGGCGCTCGCTCCCCGGTCCGTGTTTTCCGACGAGAAAACTCAAATGCTCGAACAGAGCATGTCGCAATCAAAAGGCCTGGGCACCAATGAGTGATAGATCAGTCGGCTATTGCTGTCCGTCCTCATCGGACGGCTAACCCAAGAAGCGAAGTCCTCCCATCTAACAAGCATAGCGCACCAGCCAGAACACACTGCCTTACCTTTTTCCGAAAAGCCAAAACCTGCATCACCGATCCTAGCTACGATGATACCGATAGAATGCTTCTCGGACGGCCCAGCGCTGACCCCGCCATGAGCCCGGCGAACGCGCAGAACATCGGAGCGCCCGCCGTTGCACTCATCGAGCACACGTTTCACCGCGTCGTCGTAGGCTGGACCCCCGAAGGCCCCCTTCGCAATCAAAAACGGAAGCGGCGAACTATCGCCCGCTGGCGCTGGGGGCATCTCTGCGTCCGGATCCATGCCGGTGACGTTGGTGCCCCCTGGCTCCCCAGAGGGGTCGCTGTCGGGAAGTTTGCCGGTTCCTGCTCATGCTCCTCCGTCCTCCGAGCACGTGCCATCCTCCTCCGCCCTCCATTGTCTTCCACTGTCCTCCTCTGTCCTCCCCCGCCCTTCCCTTGGGGCTGGGGATGGGCTGCAGGTTGACGCCGGCTCTTTCGAAGTGAGATTAATTCGTCCTCCCCGTCGTCGATGAGTTCGTCTAAGTTCCCGCCGAGCTGAACTGCCTCTGGAACATCGAACTGCACCGTCTGCCCCAGCGCTCGCCGACTTGGCAGGCGCAGCGCGCTGCGGGGTGAGCTCGGACGACACGCGGTCCACTGCCCTCCCGTTGTTCTGCAAGTTCCACTAGACAGCGGACGGGCTTACAATTTTACATCTCAAGCGAAGGTGTCCACGTGCAGGCGCCGGCAAGCCCCTGATCACGTTGGCAACGAAGTCCCCTGGCTTGAAGCTCTACAGCGGCGAACGAATGGAGACTCCTGCGCTGGCCAGGCTCAACGAGTTCAACGTCTGGTTGCGCGCGCCAGCGCGCGGTGCAATGCCGAGCTCCAAGTAGGATTTGCTGCACCAATGCGTTCTGTTTGCCAAATCGAAGCTCCACGGTATCAACCCTGCGCGCGTCAATTACACAGAGTCGTGAAATTGCTGACTGGGCCCCTTTTGGCCCCCCTGGCCGGCGCGCCACGCCCTCCGCGGCCGCGCCTCCCGCGTTTCTGCGCCCTTCCATCTGGGAAGTCTTGCTGCTCAGGCCCCACAACGAAAGAGGGTGGCCCCCCGTGGCCGGCGCCCGCGGAGTCTTCCACGGGAATGGGTGCATCGCCAGCGCTTTGATCCGCTATGGCGCTAAAGCTTTCTACTCCATTGCCTCTGTCGCAGATAGCCACGGCCCCCCGAATGACAAGCCAAGCGATCATGCGTCTGCGGCAACGCTCCAAGCTTCAAACGCACACGGTCGTTCACAAGAGGAATGCGCATGTTGGGCGCCATGGTCACCGCTGCCTGCCGCGCCGAGCGGGTGCCCTGACGGCGGGCGCCAGTCCTTGGATCCCACGTTGGAGATGACCCCTGGGCCCTGGATCCAACCGAGAAAAAAACAATTCTGACATTCTCGTGGCCTTCAAGTTCTAGCGCCCGCCACCCTCTGCCCTCTGCGTATCTGGGCGCCGCTGCGAGCGGACCGGCAGGATAACTGAATCCCACACTTGCGAGCAATAGCCCGTCACGACCATGGCGCGGAACTCCGCGAAATACTAGCTGAAGAGCTTCTGGGCGAGGGCGGCGAGAGGCCGCCGCAGCGCCCCCAGGGCGACCAGCTCGCGCCAGTAGCGATTGAGCAACGCTCTTCCTGCGCTCGAGCCTGACGCGCGGGCTCTCCTCCACACGCAACAGTAGCAGCGCGGGGAAATCGGTCGCGCCGCCCCTGATTCTCACGTCCCACTGGCACGCGTTTGCAATGGCGATCGCGACGGCGGGCGCTCTGGCATCGCTGACGCACCCACGTGGAAATGATTGCCAGAGAGGGGCCCGCTCCGCGCTGTCGCTGCCCAAGAGCTTGCTGGAGTAAACCCTTAGCTTCGTTTTTTGGGAACTTGCATGTCTCGACAGCGCAGTGGGTCCCGAGTGCTCGCTGCCACCGGCGCCGTCGACGTTCGCGCTGAACTCCCTCGTCCGAGGTCGGATCCAGAAGTGGAAGCGCCGAAGCGGCCCGAGCGCTATGGTGGGCGCGAAAGGTTTCACGATGAACTTGCTGTCCTGGAGGGCCCCCAGTGACTGACGCGCGCCTGAACTGTCTGGCTCCGCTTCGGTTCTGATCGGTCTCGTCCGCCAAAGGGCCCGCGTTCTCGCCGGCCTTTTTCTGCCAGATGAAACGATTCAACCCATCGGTCGACGCAGCCACCGTCTGAAATCGCAGCAAGAGCGCCGACGCCGGCAACCGCTCCAAAGCAAAGCGAAGGCTGCCACGGCTCTACCCCGGTCGCGCGAGAGCGTCAAGGAACAAATTTCCTGGGGGGCCGGTCCCAAGTACGCCATGGGGATCGCCCGTGAAGCCTAGTCTTCGAAGCGTGTCAAACGTCCTCTGATCGCGGCCACGGTGACCCCATGTCCTGCAATGTTCTCGCTCAACAGTTTGCGGGAAGGCCGCGCAAAGTCTGAACTCTTGATGTGGCCATCCTCTGAACTCTGACTGGCAAATTCGCTACTCTGACAAAACGCAGCTTGCGTTAGCTTGGGCGTGTTGCAATAGCTCGGGCCGAAATCCTACCGATGGTCACGGTTCCACGGAAGCGTGTATTCGGTGTCTCGAACGTACATGGTGCATCTCGAACTGTGGCTGACCTGGCTGACAAACGGAAGCGCCGCCGCTCCTCGTGGAACGACCCTCAAAAAAAACACCTTGAATTTTCTGGGGCTTTTCCTAAAACCATACCCTACTGCGAAGGCCTAGTCCTGACCGGTCCTGGCTCGAGTGCGCGCGCAGCGAATAGCTGCCAAAGTCGACCCTATCCCACGTGGGCGGCACCCGTGCACCAAGATACTACAACCGAAAACTGCTGCCGACGCGCGTGCATACCCATCGCCCTGAACACTACCGTCATTCCCTGAACTGCCCCGTGGCCCTTCTTAAATCTCCATCCGTTATCTTCGAGGCTGCTGGAAAAAGTGGCAGCTGGACTTGAGGCTGCAACGAGCTTTCAAATATTACGCAGTGCGCTCACTCGACTCGCTCTCGCTGCCCTCAAAAACAAAAGTTGCTGAGATGCCCCCCGACGTGCCCAAGACGGCTGAACGGTGGACGTGGCTGGGCTGACGGACGCGGGCAAACGAGAGAACGCGTGTTCAAGTCCTTCTGCTCCTTGAGCACTGAAGGCGGCCTTCTCCTTTGTCACGGCTCTGAAGTTCACGCGCACCCGCAGCATGTCTTGGCGGCGGTAGTGTTTCTGGAACGGCGCGCGAACACCCTTAAGCGATAGCTGACTGCGGAAGGATGTGATTGTCTTGCGCTTCTCACGTGATTTCGTGCGCCCCTCAGAAATCTTGGGCCTCAGCTGGCTGGTCGCACACTTGGGCATGGCTACTGGCAACTGGGGCAACACGCACTCGCATATCTCTCGAGACAATCTCACGTATCCCTGACCCAACACGGCTATGAAATGACTACCACGATCGCAACGAGAAGGTGAAGCGACTGCACAACAATGGCCATGCCTCCTGCGCATCCTCCTCAGCATCTTCCTTGACATGCTCTTATTGGTAAGCTACCTGCTGTGTGTGTGTACGGGGTGACGGGCATGCTGATGCGATTGTGATGTGTGCGGATTGTAGTGTTACTGTAGGAGTTTGTGTTGCTGCGATGCAATGATCCACGATGTTGTGTGTGCGGTTAAATGTAGATGCGAATGGCGATGACCTTCGGGGATGGCACTGGACGGCGCCATGTTGCATTCGTATGCAGGGAGGAGAGCGAACGGGGACGAGTCGACGCGAGAAGTTCTTACAAACTTTGATTGACAACGATCTCACTTCCGACGGCATCAGGCGGGCCAGGAACGCCTTAGGACGGCCAAGGGGGCCCCCGAAAAGCACCCAAAGGCCCTGCAGAGGCCCAAAGAGGCCTCCGAGATGCCTCCAACAGGTTCCCAAGAAGCTCCCAGGAGGCCCCAAGAGTGCCCCCAGAGGCTCTCGAGATGCCCCTCTCGTCCTCCTCCTGATCTTCTCCGCCATCCGCCTCCAAGCCAAGTGTTCCCCGAAGGGCATCTACAACGGCTGGGGGAACACATGACATGGCGAGATAGCTTGGCAGATCTCCCGCCACGACGCTCGGCCACATGGGCGATGCCAAAAGGCAGGGGGCGGCGGTGATTCGCCGCAGGCGTCTTCAATCGAGGTGGCACAGTAGTGTGTCCCTTCTCCAGAGGAGGAGGAGGAGGAGGAGGAGGAGGAGGAGGAGGAGAAAGAGGAGGAGGAGGAGGAGGAGGAGGAGGAGAAAGAGGAGGAGGAGGAGGGAGGAGGAGGAGGAGGAGGAGGAGGAGGAGGAGGAGGAGAAGGAGGAAATCGTCGGCCTGCCTTCGTGCGCTCATCGGACCCCTGGCGGCCTTCTAGGGCCTCGTGGTCCCACTTCAGGGTCGGCGGGCCCGACCGCAAGGCCCCGCAGAATAGGTCAGACGCGAAACAACGCGCTCCTACGCTTGCGCCTACCTCGGTGCATGGCCGCTCCGCGGAGATCAGAACCACCACAAGCCCTCTGTCGGCACGTGTCTTGTTAGCGCGCGCCAGGGCCATTATCCAGCAGCCCGCGCCACCGATCTGCAGACCCTACTTCAGCACTTCTGCCGAGCGGCCTCTCGCGCGACGGGGATATAATACTGGAAGTGGCGCCATCAGGCGATCAGCAGGTCCGTGACGGCCGACTTCGGTATCTCGGAGACGACGCCCTTGCAGGGAGCAGAAACACAGTAAGGCCAAGGCTGGGCTCCAGTCGGGAGCGGCAAAGAGGGGGGCGTCCAAGAGGGGGGGTGCAAATCATGACCGGCGGCATGTGCGCGGCCAAGCGGGGGGGTCAGGGACGTAATGAAATAAGAAGAGGCGCCATGAGATCTGGGGAAATATCATGGCCCACGCCATGATATCCACCCCCCCCTAGTCATCACCCCCCTCTTTTCCGCCCCCGATCCAGGGGAGGTGCTCGAGCGCCACCGGGTAGGAACTGCCACCTCAGGGCCCACGGGCGAGTCGGGCCTGGGCCGGCTGGCTCGACTGGAAGCTCGGACTGGGCTGCACACGGATCGGCTCGCTGCGCCCCACTCTGGCTGGCCCTGGCCGGTTTTTGGTGGAGGAGGAGGAGGAGGAGGAGGAGGAGGAGGAGGAGGAGGAGGAGGGGGAGGAGGGGGAGGAGGAGGAGGAGGAGGAGGAGGAGGAGGAGGAGGAGGAGGAGGAGGAGGAGGAGGAGGAGGAGGAGGAGGAGGAGGAGGAGGAGGAGGAGGAGGAGGGAGGAGGGGGAGGGGGAGGAGGAGGAGGACTGATACGGATCGGATCGCACCGGGTCGGATCGCAGGCGGCCCCTGTGAGGTCGGCGCTCTGGGCGCTCGGCTCTCGCCCGTAGAGGGGCTCACCCGGCCCGCGCGCCAGCAGGGCCCTTTTGGTCGATGCCCGGCCCGGCTGACGCCCCACACGACGTCGGCCAGCTCCACACCCCGAGACTGCGTGAAGCTCGCAAAGGCGGTGCGGGGCCGCCTCCTGCCGCTCGCGTCCGGCGGCAGCTCGACCCCGCGGCGGTCCACGAACTCACGCAGCATCCCCAGCACGGTCTCGGCGGCGGAGTCCGACAGCAGCAGGGTCGGCCTGTGGATGACGAGCACCTCAGGGTTGTAGATAAAGGCGCGGCCGATGTGGCAGAGAGTCGCGTCGCTGCTGCTGAGGGACTCCTGCCACCGCTCCTTCCACAACGGGGTTCGGCCCTGCGCCAGGAACTCCAGCCTCGCGCTCTCCTCCTCCGTCTCCTCCTGGTCCTCGTCCACCCGCTATTCATCTTCACATACCTCCACCTGCTGCTGCTGCTGCTGCTCCCCGTCGACCTCCTCCTCCTCCTGGTCCTCCTCCTCCAAAGCGCATGCGCACGGGTGCATGTAGGATGACTGTCCTCCTTCTCCTCCCTACTCCCATTGCTCTTCATAGTTTTTTTTACATGAACTACGAGGCGAGAAATTAGCTCCACGGCACAGGCCCCACAGTGAGGTCATCCCTTTTGTGGGTGCCGTCCCCTGCAGATACGATTGAACCAAATTCTCTGCTTGGGCGTGGGCTTCACACACTCCTTAGCCAAGCCTCGAACATGGCTGTGAGCGGCGTAGGAATAGCAACGGATACAAACTGTAATCACCGTGCCATTCGAAACGGGAATGGTGACAGGCACGTGGCCTAAATCCCGCAAGACTGGGCCATCAAGCCGCGAAAAATCATCACAAACACCAGGCGGAGGGGAGCGGTCAGAGCCCTCAACCGTGCGCCCACGCAAGCAATTCTGACACCGCCAGAGACTGCGAGCGCCCAAGGAGACGTAAGCCCACTCGTGGGGAAGACCCTTGGGCTCCTTGGGCTCGGGAGGCGGGGCAATCCATGGGGCATCCGACAAATCAAGGCGGGGCCATCTGGGAAGCACATTAGCCGCCAAAGCGCACACCGCCTTGGAAATCCGAATGCGCAGATCGAGCTCTCTGAGCTCGTTGTCGGACGCCCTAGGATGAGAAAAAGCAGCGAGTTTGGCGGCCTCGTCGGCCTCTGAATTACCAGTGCGCATCCAGCGCTCCTGATCTGAAATTCCCGCTTCTAGCGGGTCAAGATGGGCTTTGACCTTAACGACCGATTCGACGAGAGAAGCCCCTACCCGAAACAGCATCATTAGTCCCGCGAAAGGACGCTTATAACTGAGCTGCACGGCAGAGGGGGCTTCGCACTGGTGAACAACATTAGCGCAATCAGAGAAAAAGGTGGAAGGGCCCCCTATCTCCATTCCACCGCGGGCAATTCCCGCAAATTCAGAGCACTGAGACGTCTGCGGGAAGGGGGCGTGCACGGGCCCGAGGAGCCTGCCAAGCCTACGACCATCATCGCCCAGAGCCACGAGCCCATAACCCGCACGGGACAATTCGCTAATCTCGTGTCGAAGGCAGCTGCCATCGACAAAAATGTTACCTGCAAACGTGCCACCATCCTGGGGGGGGGGTCGCCCCAGAGCAGACGAGCTTGAATGGGTCCACTCTCGCTAGCAGGCCTAAGGAAAGTGTCGCCAGGGTGTGGGAAGAGGCCCCTGTTGAACAGCAGGTGGTCGAGGGGGCCGGACATATCCGCGTCAGCGGCCATCCTCAGAATACCAGGCTCCACCAGCTCCTCTCTCAACGAGGCAACAGAAGGGCAGCTCCAGAGCCTGTGGAAGGTAGTACCCCCTCTTTGGCCACACAGAGCACAAACGTTGTTGACAAGATAGCCTGCTTTTTCTGCACGGTCATAGGTCCACACTGCTTCGCATGCAAGAGCCCGAATGCATCCTTTGCCGAGGTTAGATATCTTGGAAGATCTCAAACGATTGCGCACGATGTCGAAACAGAGCCGAGGGCATCCGACTTTGGCCTTGACAGCCGCATCACGTTCGAGACTGCGAAGCGAAGCTGCGTGGAGCATTTTCTTGACCTTCGCAGGAGGCACAACAGTGAGAAGAAAGGACTCGCCGAAGTCATTGACACACGTCACGAAATCAGTCATATGCCATCCGATTCTCTTCAGCGATAGTCTCAATGCTGAGAGCGGTCCTGAAACTTGCCTCCAAACTGGCTCAGGTCGATCAAACACCACATCCCATCCCTCCTGCAATTGTGTCCAACTTAGCGAGTAAGGGTAGGAATGTGTCTGTAGTGACCATACTTCCTTGGCATATCGAAGAATGGGTGATACAGCCCCTAGCCAGACAGGATCATTATGGTATATCATCGTCGCCGTGAGAGAGCGCCCTGTGGCACTAGGCCTAAGAACCTTGCCTGCCTCCCTCCTTATCTTCAACAATTCAAAATCAGATAACCCATTGATTTCAAAACCGTATAATACCCCAGGGAGCGCCCCAGTGATCCAAATGCGGCTAGACTACTTCCCAAGACCACACTTCATCCTGACAATATTTTTGGTCGTCTGCTTAAGATGCTCAACTCTAGCACGGAATTTGGTAGCTCGACGGGCTGCACGTCTGGGCTTGCCACCTGCATCGTCAATGCCTAAGTTGGCCGCGCTGTCGGTCTCCGTGCCAGCATAAGGTCCCAGGAAAGTTCGCATAGCCCTAGTGACCGCATGACTGGAGCTAACAAGTGCGGCCTTGTCGACAGCAATCTTGCAGTCGCACTCGTGTGTGATAGCTTGAAACAGCTGAGCACTGGCACACTTGAGATCATGCACAACTTCTGAGACTGATCCAACTGCAGACACAGCGCTATCGTCGATGTACTGGTCGAACGATACATTGCTAGGATACTCGATATTGGTAAAAAGCCTCGATAGTGTATACCCTTACAAACGAAGTATCGAAACTGCACCCAGCGATAACCCCTTTCGTGGCGTAGAAGGGCCCCGAGACATACCCCACGAGGCACACGAAGCGAGCCGACTGATACGAGGCTATGGCCAAGCGGAAAATAGCAGGGGGGAAGTTGAACTTTATGCAGTGATACTCTAACCGACTGAGGCATATACCTTCGTAGAACTTGGCCATATCCCACAGAAGAGTAGCACTTACCTTTCCAGAAGAGTTGGAGGTTTCAGCCCTGAAACTTTGCCTCCATACAACATCACTGGCAGAAGCAAATGACTGACCAGCATAGAAACTCCTCTGATACTGAAGTTCCCATTGAAGGGCATAGCATCGTCTACAGCGGCCCCAGAGTCGGTAGATCGAGCAGATCAGAACCTCCCTGACCCCCCCCCGCAGAACCAACCTAGCCTCTCCTCCTTCTCACTAGCACCCCCCATCGCCCTAAGAGGAAGAGGGGAAAGAGGAACACGATGAGATCGGAGGAGGCAGAAGGAAATGGGATGGAATACGAGTGGTAAAGGGATGCGACGCGTTGCATACGTGAGGGGGGAAGGAGTAGGAGGAGGAGGAGGAGAAGGAGGAGGAGGAGAAGGAGGAGAAGGAGATGAAACAAAGGAGACGATGGAAGTAACTCATCATTCCCCATCTCTCCAAGTCTCTCTTCTTATAATTATCTAGCCCATCGGGCAAAAGGCATGCTAGGATCTCCGGTAATGAATTCCGAATGTTTGTAGATTGCTAGATCACGCGCGCGGGACGGCCCCTGGGGTCCCTGGATGAAACGAATCCCAAAATTAGCACGCCGGACTCAGATCAGAGACTAGTTTCGGTCTGGACGCGGCATTCACGACCCCGAAGAGCGCTCCAGGAGCGCTCCACGGGGACTGCTACCGAGTCCAAGAGGGCGCGATACCGCCCAAGATCGCTCCGATACGTCAAAGATGGCTTCTTCACGATTCGAAAGGACTCCCAAACGTCCCAAGAGCGCTCCCAGTGGGCTCCCAAGGAGGGCCAGGAAGACCAAAATCATTCAAGTCCTGTTGAACAGCGTTCTCGCCTTGTCGGCCTTCCGATGCACCATGACGGCTGAAGCAACCCCCCAGAGGTCCCCAGAGACCCTCAAGAGGAGCCCAAGAGGGGGAGCACGAATTGAGATGTCGAGCTCTTCCCAAAAATATGGCCTCCGAGACTGGCAGAAGGCTCCCAAGAGGTCTCCAGAGGGAGACCCCAAATACCCCTTCAACAGGGTCCCATTAGGCTCCCAAGAAGCCTAACGAGGCCACAAAGATGCTCCCGTGAACACGCAGGAAAAAGCCAACGATTCTACAATACGGGCCAGCGGATTGAGCGAAGCAGTTGAATGTATTTGCTTGTGCTTTCCCTCCCTCTTTCTCCCTCTCTCTCTCTCTCTCTTTCCCTTGCGCCTCTATTGGACCTCCTTTGCATATCCCTGGCTGCCTCCTTCCATCTGGAAATCTGCGAACACTCTCTGCGGCCGTTCTCACTGCCACCAGTCGGCGGTGGACAAACCTCCTTTTAGTAAACCTCCCTTTAGTGAAAACGGCCTGGGACCGATACCGACGGACCTGGGCCCGCAAAAATGACGGCCGCGACGCCCTCTCGCAAACCGGAAACGGCCAATTCCTTAATCGACGTGTCATGCAGGGTAGGAGGTCTGTCCACCCCCGAACCAGGGCACCTCCGAGCGTGATAGGCGCCTTCTCTAGGCAGTTGCTTCGGCCGTCCGGGGCGCCCTGGGAAGCCCCCGGGGGCTTTCCCAGCGGCCAAAAACCAAAGGGCGATGATTTTTCCCCGTCCCGTTTCCCGCGTTCAACCCACTCCGCCGCATTCGACCAATCCTGGTCCCCCTCTCGACAAATCCCCGGCGCCTTCTCCGGGCAGAGCTCAACCGTTGAGTCGCTCTTCTGTTCTGGCCCTCTCTGCGGCCGCCCTGGCGGCTTGTCAGGGCCCTCCTCGGATCCAGGAGCAGGTTCCTGGTACCTGCTCGCAACTTCTTGGGCCGTCTTCGCCTCTCTGTGACCCAGTGCTGCTCACGTGGTCCGCTTCGCTCTATAGCGAGCCTCATCAAATCCAGTCGCGGGAGTCGCGTCCTCCCACATCTGCATTCGCAGAGAACGCGCTTCAATAACAGTGGGGCGGCGGTGTCTGCCCCCCTCGGGGGGCATTCAATTGAATAGTTGGTGTTGCTCTCACTGCCTCTCTCTCTCTCTCTCTTTCTCTGCCTCTCTCCCTCGCTCAATCTCCTCGCTCTCTCTCTCTCTCATTCTACGTCTCTCCTTCTCGATCTCTTTCTCTCTCTCTCTCTCTCTCTTTCCCTCCCTCTCTCTCTCGCCCTGTTTGTTCCACCTCCCCCTGTCCCACTCTCCGCCTCTATCTGTATATC